TAAGAGTAATGCTTTGATTGTTAGGCTCACAGCATTTTTTAATTTCTGAGCAATATTATTATTAAAGAGCTTCACCTTTATTTACCTTAATTTACACCAAACAACCATGCAGATTTAAGATTTACCTCTTAAATTACATCAGAAAGCTCTGCAGGTTTAAGATTTATGTCTTAATTTATATCAGAAAACCCTGTAGGGTTCAGATTTACCTTTAAATTCACACCAGGAAGCCACAGCTTTGAGACTTATTTCTTAATTTACAGTGTAAAACCCTGTAGCACATGGTGTCCAGATCTACCCATGCCTGGGTTTGAGCCATTTTCATGATGTCATGTTGCTATCTTCCAATAGGATGAGTGCAGACGACAGCTCCTTGCCACCACAAAAGCGCATCAAACAAGAGGTGAGTGCACAACTTTCTAGGACACAAGCTGTGCATGTTGATGTCCATCTGTGCAGACGTACAGACATTCATGCTTAAGGTGATAGTTGCATATTTAACAATATTCCTTAGATATAATCTTGTGTTACATATACTGTTCTAATATGTTTATATCAGTTGCAATGCAAACAAAGTTGTGAAGTAGATTGTTGGAATTGAATTCAGTTGGAATAAAAACCCATAATAAGTGGTTTTCATCATATAATAATCATAATCAGACATGAAGTGAACAAGGATATAAAAATAAAATTAAAAAAATAAAAATGCAACATACGTTCACAATTTGCAAGAAATGTTCACATGTTTCAGGTTATATATAAACTTTCATGCAGTGTGTAAGAGATTACAGTGGGCTATCTATTTCAGGCGACTCTGTCAGAATGCGCTTCCTCCTTGCATAACTCAGAGGGGTCAGCAACAGGGTCAGAAGGTGGCCACCAGGGGGTGCCAAGGTCAGCAGCAGATGATGACAGTCTTTCAGGAGAGAGCCAGGATGGCGTAACACAAGGTGTGGTATGCACACATACATTTCATCATTAGATGTTTCATGTCTCTAAATGGTAAAAACACTCTGGCTGGCTTGTAAAAAAAGACATAGCAAGCCCTGTATCTTGTAATGCGAACTGTTTTTGTTTTTTTGATTTTCCAGCAGGAGGTAGTGTGCTGAGATCTAAACACTCTAATTACTGTTTTGATCTGTCTGCCTGCACAGATGTGGCCTCACAGTCGAGCCACTCTCCTTCACCCTCTTCCGCCACCAACGTCTCAGCCCCACCCACCTGGAGTCGCCATCTCATGCAACAGATGCTCATGGACGAAGGCCTACGACTGGCCAGGCTAGTGTCACATGACCAAGGTGGAAAAGTAAACCCAGGGGCCAGGGGCAATCAAACTGCAGGTAAATTTATTTTCCAATACTTGCTTGACTAGAAATGAACGTGTTTAATGGCGGCTAATGCTGACAGTGAAAGCTGACTGTTGATAGAAATGGGGCTGCTTTATTACCTGTCAGTCTGCTTCACCTGATATATCAGCAGACCTTGGACAGGAAGGATGTGGAATAACAGTAGTATGCTGCTCAGCCAGTTTAACCAGAGAAACCTTACAATACTTCTCTTTAACCTAATGAGCACTTCTACTCTATGTGCCTCTCTTCCCTTTAGTTGCTGTGAGCTAATTCTGGGCTTTCACAGTTGGGCATAAGCAGAGAGAGAGAGAGAGAGTGTGCGAAAGAGGGAGGGGGGGCTAGTGTTGGAGGAGGTGGTAAGGGGACACTGAACTGGGAACCCCCCCCTCCCTTCTCCTTGCGTCAGCAAGTGCCTGTAAATCCTACATGCGATGCAGAGTAGGTGTTATGTGGGAGTGGGGTGTGTGTTCGGGGAGGGGGGGGATGGAGTGGGAGGCGATGTGTGGGCCAGGAGCTACACTGACTCACACCCAACTGAGCAGAACTGAAATGAGTGTTTATTTCTCTCCTCCGTGCGGCGGAGGAAAAAGAGAAGCCTTCCATCTGAATGTGACGTCTCTCTCACTCTCCCTCCCCCACCCCGCCGTGGTTTCCCTTGTCCCTTGCTCCCCTAACCTTCTCTCTTTCTTCCTCCAACTGTTATCTGCACCAGTGGTCCCGAGATATGTAAAGTGGTGATAAAATCCAGAGGCTGACTGATGGCTTGTTCACTGTTTTTGGGCTAACTCAGGGAACTCCCAGGCTTCCTAGGTTCTGGTGAGCGTCATTGATGATGGATGATTCTCTCTAATAAAGATAAGAATGAAAGCCTCAGTAGATTAGCACCCTCCACCTGCTTGTTGGCTGTCTCCCCTGCTTATCCTTTCTCAGGGGAGTGGAGGCTACTCAGGGCAGCTACCCTGCCCTTGGCATGCTGGGTAATGGCTCTCCTCCACCAGGGTAGGTGGAAACTCTCAGGTAGACATTGTGACACCCACCCTGTTGAAGCTTGTCTCAAAGGCTTCAGTGTTGCTGTGAATGTGTGACAGTTCACAGCCCTGGTACCCTGAAGGGAGAAGTCAAAGGCTATGGCTAAGCATTATGCTGTATGTGCCTGTTCTTTTAAATATAAAAATGAGGGGTGTGTTCCCAATTCACATTCTCTCCTGATTAAACTTCATGCTAAACATTGCACACTAATAATACTGGTCAAATATGTGGTTTATGATGTATTCAGAGGGAATTACAGTTGGAATTGTGCAGAAGATCAAATTGTACAATAAATACAGCAACGTGCAAAGAATGGTGGTACAGCCAAATCAATTGATATTATTGTATATACATTTATACATGTGTAAAACCACACTGATATTACAGTGCAACTTAACAAAATAAGATTTGAAATCATATACAGTAAAAAGTAAATCAAATACAAGTGAACATGAGTTACAGACTATTTTCCTCCACTTTCAGCATGTTTTAGCACATATGGCAGAGTAGGATATACGTATTGTACTGAACAGTGATGTAGGGTAAGCATATTGTAATGAACAGTGCGGTAGGGTATGCATACTGTCTTGAACAGTGCTGTAGGGTATACTTATTGCATTGAACAGTATTGTAGGGTGTCCATATAGTTTTGAACAGTGATGTCAGATATACTTATTGTTTTGAACAGTGATGTAGGTTTTCCCCTCCTGATCTGTCCCCATCCCACTCCAGGCTAAGCGGGCGTGTTGCCTGATTCTTTGCAGAGCTGGAAGAGAAATCCACGGAGAGGGGGCCTTTGTCCACTCCATTCCGAAGAAGCAGCTCCTGCAGCACTAAAGATGATTCTGACCTCTGCGGAAAATAAAGACCCTCCCCCGCACTCCTTCCATTGACCAACGCATCACCCCAACCTCGTACTCCACCCCCTCATCTACATCCATAACCCCTCCCACCTCAGTGGCCTCTCATCTAGCAATAACCCAACCCCTCCCTAGTTCTTTGTGCAAAAAACCTCCAGCAGCCCATCCATGAGAAAATATGGAACACAGGAACATTGACAGAATTGTAGGAAGTCAGGTGGGACCTGAGCCTATTTTCAGCTGTTCTCCAGCTGATTTTTGCTATGAAGAAACCCTACAAATGGCTGTATACTTCCCTCACTCACTAACTCACTGACACACTTACTCACATGCTCAATCACTGACTCATGTATTTGCTCACATATGTGCCCATTCAGACACACATTCACTTAAGTCACTGTTTCACTTATGTATTCACTCGCTCCCTCATTCAGACATACTGATTTACTTACTTGCTTGCTGAATGGATCCCCAGAAGTAATAGCAGTACCTTTACCAATGACAGCAGTAAGGGTATCCACTAAGCCACTGTAGCCACAGTCCATAAACAATGTCTGGTTTGGATCCTGATCTTTTTTTTGTTTAATTTTGTTTGTTTTATTGTTTTGGTGCTATTACTTTGTTTCTACTCTCTGTAGTTTAGAAGTGAAATGCTGAGAGTGGATCAGCTGGATGAAACTGTAATGGCCATTTGGGGAAACTGTACAAGTTTGGCCTGAAATGGAATGGTTCCATCATTTAGATGGAAATACTGTGGAGGTTGAATAAGCACCTTTTTTACCTCCTTCTCTCATTTGATTATGATGCATTTTACTGACTGCATTCCCCTGAGATTTTAATGGAACGATGTGGTTATTTACCTCTCTATTGTGCCCTCTTAAAACTGGGTGGAACATGGCCTCTGAATATAACCAAACCAGCCAGTTTTAGGACTGAATTTGGAATTTGTTGTTTTTGGAGAGCCTGTCAGAAAACACTGATTCTCTTTCAGTAATTTGGAAATGACTGTGATGTCTGTGATAATGTGATATCTTCAGATTATGAATCATCATGCCCTTGGTCCTAGCAACTAAATAGGGTGTTATGGGAATCAATACCTCATTACATGTGCATTGAGCAGAGCTGTGTCCAGGCAAAATCCTCCAGTGCTTAGGAACCACTGCTAGTCTGCTGATTTATTTCCATCCACAGGCACTGTGCGTGAGATGTGCTGTTAGTTTCTGCTGAGGGGTGGAGACACAGAGGACTCCAGATCATTCTAATTCATTTCTTATTGAAGTGAATCTGCTCCACTCCCTCAGGATAGGGAGGGAGGAGGGTTAAGGGGGGCGGAGGGGGTGGGTAATTATTCTAATTCTGCACCAGTGTGATTGGCAGTGCCCCTAGCTGGGAAACACGCCTACACTTTTCTCAGGTTCACTTTGAAACGCGTGTCCCTTACAAACACTAAGCTGGTGCGAGCAGGGAGATCCATTCCAGAACTACTATACTTGCTTAGCAGATTCTCTCTTGCAGAACAACTTTAAATTATTTATACATTTCATCCGGCATTATCATAGACAATTTACATTTAAATTTACAGCTTAAATTTCACACATTTATATGGCTGGATGCTAACTGAGGCAATTCAGGTCAAGTACCTCTGTCAAGTACCTCAGTCAAGGCTATGAAAGCAATACCCCATGTGGGAATCGAACAGGAAACCTTTTGGGTATGACCCTGCTCATCGCCACTACACCACACCATGCTGCCTGATGGCTGACATCTCTGGGTGGGCTTGAACCACCAACTTATCAGTTTGCAGCTGGACACACTGGCCGATTGTGCTACAAAGACCCCGGAAACTAGCTGGCATTTGACTTGTGAATCCGTAATTCACTCCAGAGACACACTATTATGTTTTTTGTGGACAGAAGACTGTGGAGACTATAGCACAGGAGTGCTTCAGACAAGGTGCTGAAGAATCAGAAAGAATGAAGCAGATGATGTCTCTAATGGCCAATTCCATTGTAAGTGTCCTAGGTGTGTGTTCTCAGGCTCCCAATCATTGGACACCCTTTTAATTTTATTATGTTGTACAGTACATTTTATTTTGTTAGTTTTTAATAAAAAGTTTACTTCACTGTTCACCTTTTTTGCTGTGTTAAAGTCTGTTTTTTTTTAAAATAATACATATCGTCTTGTGAATTCAGTCAGATAATTCACAGAGAATTCACACATTAGGTGCAACACAAGGTAGTAGTTGAGATGTAGGAGTACACAAGTGAATATTTATGTTCTGCATTTCTGAATGAGAACGGTTGTTTGAATGTTTGCGAATTTTATGAGTGATATTAAACATGTGATGATGTACGATAAAGATGAAACAGCTGAATGTGTCCGCTGGTTCTTGTGTTGTTGATTGTCTGTTATTGATCTTTTAGCACACAGATATTCTATATTATAACAAGATATTCAGCTCCTGTTTTCTTTCAGTGTGCTGCATTTCCTTATCTAGGAGGCTGCAGTTTGCTAACGTGACCTTCCAGTGATGTCTCCATAGGTGTCCCAGCTGTATATGTTGTGGTTTAGACCGCGCACGTTCAAGAACATTCATTACGAGCCAGTAAATCAGAGCGCTTACATCTTTAACCGTCAACAATGTGAGGGGCAGAACGTTCAGCACGAAGCGCATAACGCTGATTATACGGTCAACATTTAAGATTTCTGCGGCGTTGGCATAGGTACAGTTTACCAAATGGTGACGTAAACTGAAACACGAAATGTTGTTTAATAGCCCCGAACGCGAGATATGTTCGCGATATCCAGCGGTACACCTTTAATCCCCGGACAGACGCAGCCCGTGAGTCACTGAGTGAATCATCATTTACTTCTGATGCCATTCGCGTTTTTCCTCACAAGTAGGCCTAATCTATGCACAGGCACCGTTACTTGCGTCCATGGAGCACAGGATCTAAATATAGAGACTGACCAGAGCTCAGACAAATAACACGAAAGCAGCAGTCTGGACAGTAAGGCATAACTCATGCATATGTAGCTCATTCTGTTAATGTAACTCAGTTGAAAGGTCTCAACAGTTTTACCACAGCATTGAAAATTACCCATTATAGGCCTACATGTCCACATTCTATATCAACGTGCATGTTAACACCATATTTTGGTTAGTCAGACATGTAGTTTAAGGATAAGATTTGTGACATTTTAGAGTGGAGTGGTTGCCTACAGAACGAATGCTTTTCTCTTAAGAAACACATCATATCAAGATGCTTTGATCAATTCTCATCTTCAGATTGAATGTGGATATTTTGCACAGTGTATATACTAAATTGATCTGTTTTTCTTTTACCCATTGGCTGAAAAACCAAAAAAATCATTTTTAAAAAGAAGACTACGTTAGCATTCCAGCACTTCAATGATAAATTTGACCGATTCTATTTGTAGTCTGTGCTGAAAGGGAGCAACATTCATTGCTGAGTTTTTATTTATTTATTTTTGTACCCAGAAAATACATGGCCAAGTCACCGGTCTGACTGATCTCATAAGTTTTTTTTTTTTTTGGAATAAAATGTTAACGCCCGCGTACGCGCATTGTAGTGGGCGTGTGTGAGGGCAGCTGCCTAAAAGATATCAGGCAAGACGGCCAAGGCAATTTGAGTCTGAAATACCAGTGGGTTGGACTTTCTGCAAGTAGGCGTGTTATGCATATTATTAAGAGCCTCCAAAACCACGGGAATTAAATGTTCCCTCCTACGTTCACGCCCACCACGTCTGAAGTGATGTTTACAGTACTTAGCGCGCTGCACTTTCTTATAGAAGTCCTTTAAAACTCAGCAGGTAGATAATCATTTGAATATTTGTCAGGTACTTCCCATGAAGAACCTTAACCAGTTATAAAACTCAACCATTTGTCTTGACTTTAAACCAAACCTATGTTGAAAGCGGCTCTTGTTGTCCGTATACATCTGTTATGATGGGCTTTGATTATCTCTTGAGATGAGGCAGATATGTTTTAGGAATGTTTCATTAACATATTCTTTTGCCTCAGATGACAAGGTTATTGAAGATGTGTTGGAGCTATTTACATTATCTCAGATTACCTCAGATTAGAAAGACTGAGGAAATATCCTATTTCCACTTAGCACTATGATCACTGAAGGCTGAAGGTTTGAACACTAGCTGAGGCACTGCTGTTGTATCAAGTGGTATAAATAGATGAGACACAAACTATGTAAATTGTCCTGGATAAGGTCTCGCTGCTAGGCAAATAAAAGATATCCCAGTGAATTTATTCAACGTATCCACAGAAACATTGCCCATAGAACTTGGGTGTTCTCCATTGCAAACTTTATCTTAACTGTGACAGTCCGCTTTTTGTTTGACTGTACTAAGATGCAGTCACCACATATGTACTCAGCCTGAACAAACATGCTGAAAATGCAAAATAGGCTTGACTGCTGTGAATCATTCAAAAACATGGGACACATGTTTACAGAATGCAGAATGCCAATAACCAATTGACATAAAATAGGTCCTGGTAATCAATGCTACAATGATGTTTACCATCCTTTTACACCAGAATTATTTTTTGGGTGTGTTGGGATGGACCAATATGGAGAAGAACGCAGGAGGGATTCCAGTTACCATGTTCATTCATCACTCCTGAACTAGGCACCAGTGCTACCTTTTCACAACACATCAACACAATGCTGGAAAAAGGGTACACGAAGTAATCAAACAGACAATTGGCCTTTTCAAACCTGTTACTGTGTCCAAAAATGCTCAATAACAAAATGACAAATCTTTCTTATCAAGCTCAGTATATGCAGGTTTTAGCAATAGAAAAGGGCCTAAGGTGATTAAATGGTAAAGGCCGGTACAAAGCAGCTTTACTTGAACATTGATCCTGTTCTGTTACAGGAAGTGTTTCACAAAGGGAGACATTGGGGACAGTGACTACTTCTTTGTGTTCAGCAGCCTGGCTAGAGCATGCAAGAGAAGCATATAGTTAAGGCTCGATCAGGATTTGACCAGATTTAACAATAAACTGTGACTTCACCTCACCTCCATGGAGTTTAATTTTTTAGATAGTTCTTTGTCTTTCCCCATAACTCTCCCAATGTGTTTGGAGAGGTCAAAACACAGAGAGCTGTTTTCTTTTGTTTCATGCGAAATACACAAAACACACCTTAATTATGAACACAAAAGCAAAATGATTATGTTCAGCAGTGATTATAGAATTATTTGTGTAAATATTTATCAGAACTAGGAAAAACACCTATTATATTCCAAGATTGGGAAAATTGAAAATAAAAATTATTGTTACTTTATGTATGCATAATTTATATTTAAAGAAATCAGTCTGGTCAAAATAAACAGCGTGTTATGGGAATCAATACCTCATTACATGTGGGTTGAGCAGAGCTGTGTCCAGTCAAAATTTTATGTCATTATTGTTTTTAGTATCAGCTATCAATATGCATTGACCACATAGAATCTAGACCTCAAAATGTATCCTTGGCCAGACTGATAATGACCGTTTTCATTGATTTTAATATGAATGTCAAAACGTCGACAGGCAGTGTGTAAATGAGAATATGTGCCTTAAATATCAATCCAAGCCACTAATGGCATGTTGTGCACACTTGCAGCCGCCTGGTCAATTATAGTCATTTGTAAAGCACTGACTGCAGATGGAAGACAAAACAGCACTCGATCTGACAAAAAGAGAGTGTGATGTGATCCTGCCGTGTCTCTAAAACAGCTGCCATCCTTTTGAGGACAGATCCTTCTGCAGTAATTTGCCTTCCGATTTCCACCATATAAAGGATCACTCACCCACGTATGGCTCTTTCAGAGAATAGCCAAACCTGTTCTAGTTTACACTACACTTAGAGAAAATAAAAGCAATACGTGAGGTGAAAGACAGTTTAAAAAAGTGTAGATCGTGCTCTATAAAATGGGTAGAGTGCTGGCATATTCACGAACACATACTTTGTCAGATAACTCAGAAACCGGTTCTGATTTCATGCAGACTACGTTGACACAATGATACACTACTTTGACGGTTAGAACAGTGGTGGGAGGGACGTACGCTGTGACGTCGAGTTTGGACAGTTTTGTTTGACTATACCGTACTTTTTACCTGGTGCATAGTTACATCCGCATTCCGCCGTACATTAAGTTTATACTCAGTATCACGGAGCAGTTGAACAGAAACACAATAGAATAAAGGTAAGACATTTATGACTTTGGGCATCAAGTAGGCGGTTGCTTATGGGGCTTTTTGTCTTAACCATTCCGCTGTTACCATCTCAGTCACAGTCACATGGTTAAATGTTTCCAAGGGGATACAGTATGATGAAATCACCGAAACGTTTAATACGACTTCTTTTCCTCTTTGGACACTACATGCACTATTTATATAGTATCCAAACAAGGGTTTTAGGTTGTTACTGTGTTGGGACAATGTTGTATCATTGTTGAGACAACGCTGTGATATGACATTGTGACATCGTGAAACTGAAGGTTGTCAAAATGTAACAGAATAGAAACATTACTTTATTCTTACAAGTGACTTATTTAAACAGTGTAGGTGTAGGGACGATTCTGCCCCAGTGTTTTGATCACTTTATGCAGTATTAAATACATGTCTAACCTACCACATTATGAATTTGATTTAGTTGCACCCACGCAGCTTTAGCGCTCGTGAAAACGTCTACATGAATAATAAAAACAACAGATTTTTTTGGAGTAGTCCTACTTGCCATACAACACGCTGAAGCTAGTGCAGACTACTGTGGGTATGCATATATTGTTATTAACGATTTATTTAGAAT